TGAAATGATTTAACTAATGTATGTCGATGATTACAAATAATGTCCTACCTCAAGGGAAGATGTTAGCATAATGTAGCAATTATACATCGTATATAGCACATTATATGGTTGGAATTGGAAGAATCACAAGGCAAGAGAACTGTTCTTAAGAGCTTACACTACAGAAAAATCATTCATTATCGACGGTTTATTCCAGCGGTTACTACTTGTTTTCTGGTGGTTTGGCAAAAAACTGGCGGCTTTTCTGCGGTTCAAATACCGCCGGAAAAACGGCGCCGGAAACCTTTTTCGGTGGTGTTTTTCTAGCGGTTTATTTCACCGGCGGTTAATACTACCGATTAGCTTCCGACAGTCTAAGCGCCGGTAACCGTTAATTTTGTTGCCGACGGCGTACCGACCGTTCAACCACTGGTACAAACATCATCGTTATTACAGAATAGACCGCTAGTAATCCACCGATAAAATCACCAATGGTTTACCGGTGGTTTGCACCGACGGAATTCACCGCCGGCGTGTCGTCGATGTACCGCCAGACACCGTCGGCAAACCTCCGGTATTGATTGACGATTTTAGAAGTTTTTCAGTGAATTTAATTAGCCATCCGGTATCGAAGTTTTCAGTGGCCAAACTGCCGGTTGGTCGCTTGAAACCTGTAGTATTTGAAAAAAAAAATTGATGGCCTCTCCACTATTTGAGGGATTTTCACCCTAAACTCCAAACCTGCACATAAAATACAGTAATGTTCACAATTTTGGGTAACATGCCACTATAGTCAATCACAACAATTATCACAAATATATTCATTAAAACAAAACAATAAGTGAAACCAAATAATTTCATTACTAAGTTCATAAGTTCAACCAAATAAGTTCATAATTAAGTTCAAAAAGTGAAACCAAATAAGTTTACAATAACATCATCATAAGTTTATTAAACAAATAATGGTTAAGCCCGATTTCTCATCTTAGTTTTGCCGATGATTTCATTCTTTTCTCTAATGGTTATATTAATAATATTAGACTGTTGAGTAATTTCCTTTTATAATTTCAAGCTTCTACTACCATTAATAAGGAGAAGAGCAGTCTTATTGTTGGCAAGTCTATTAATATGGATAGGACTTTTGCTATTCAAAGAATTTGTGGTTTTCAGTCCAAGTCTTTGCCCATTAAGTATTTGGGTACTCCTATCTTTAAAGGTAAAAAGTGAAGTCATCTGTTTGAAGATATTTTCACTAGCTTTCATAAAAAATTAACCCATTGGTCATCAAATTTCTTATCTTTTGGGGGTAGACTGACTCTTATCAAATCTGTTTTGAATTCTATTCCTATTTATTTACTTCATACCCTTCAACCTACTCCTTCCATTTGCCTTAGAATTAAGAGAATGATAAACAAGTTCTTTTGGGGCTCCAAGTACAGTAATGGTATTCGTTGGGCCTTTTGGAATAACATTTGTGGTGTTTATAACGAAGGTGGCTTAGGTTGTAAAAACTTATCGGACATGGCTCAAGCTTTTTCTCACAAACTTTGGTTCTCCTTTAGAACTAAGTCCAGTTTATAGGCTTATTTTATGAATGCCAAATACTGTAAAGATTTTCATCACTTACTTGGTGTGTATAAAGCTTCTGATTCCTTGACCTGGAAAAGGCTCTGTAAAATTAAATGGAAAGCTGAGCAATTTATCCAATGGGGTTTAGGTAAAGGTAATATTTTCTTTTGGCAAGACAATTGGTCTATTAATAATTTCTTAAATATCCAATATATTGATAATGCTAAAGTTTATGATTTTATTTTTAATGGTTGTTGGAATGTGCCTAAGCTTTTGGAGGTGATCCCTCCCAATCTTATTGACATTATTTTGTTGCTTCCCTTAGATTTGCTTTGCAATGATAAAATCTTGTTTACTCTGTCTTCTTCTGGTAAATTTCAAATAAAAAATGTGTGGGATACTTACAGAATTAAATATGAATCTTCGCTTACTTATTCTGCTTTATGGCATTACAATATCCCTGTTTCTGATACTCTTTTAGCTTGGAGATGCCTCAAAGGTTTCATTCCGGTGGACGAATTAATTCAGAAAAAAGGTTTTAGTTTCCCGTCTAAATGTCAATGTTGTTCTAATATTGAAAGTGTTAATCATCTTTTTGTGAATGGTAAAATTGCTCTCAAGTTTTGGAATCATTTTATTAACTTGGCTAAAATCAATTGTGGGGTTATTGCCAATGATTTACCTGTTTTATTAAAAGGGTGGGTGACTCCTTCTAAAGGCCGCATTCTTAATTTAGTGCCTATTCTTATTCTGTGGTTCATTTGGAAAGCTAGAAATGAAGCTAAGAATAATGACATTAAGATGAATGCTAATCAAATCATCTCTAATATTAATTATAAAATCCTACATCTGTTCTCTTGTATGCTTATTTAGGCTAAGCATTTTAGCAAATGTAGGGATTTCGCTATTTCTCTTGGTATTCCTTTAGGTGAGGGGAATCTGATGGGTTTTGACAAGTTGGTTACTTGGATTAAACTGAAATTTATGTTTGTTAAATTAAATTCTGATGGCTCTGTTAGGAACTATTGCGCTGGTACGGGAGGTATTATCCGGGATCATCACGGTAATGTTAAAGCGGTTTTTGCTGGTCCTTTAAAGCCTTGCTCTGTTATCACTGCTGAACTTACTAGTTTATCTTATGGTCTTGACATTTGTACTAAATTGGGTTTTGACAATATTTGGATTGAGGTGGATGCTCAACTTGTGGTTCAAATTATCAACAATATTGTGTTGGGCAATCCTCAGAATTTCTATTTGATCAGGAAAATTAAGTAGTCTTTGTCTACTATCAATTATTCGATTTAACATATTTATCGTGAAGCTAATGCTTGCGCGGATTGGTTGGCAAATTTTGGGTGTCAACTGGATAGTTATCAGGATTGAACATCACTTGTTTGCATACGGTTTTGAAATATATGATTACCATTGATAAATCTGTGCTACCCTATATTCGCCGTGTTTGATGTTTTTGTTTGTTCGTTGTCTGTGGTTCACCATTTGGTTTTCCAGTGGGTTTGTTTGTCTTGCCTTCTAGTTGCTGGTTCTGGTTGCTATGGGGAACTGTTTGTGTTCTCTCCTTTCACTGTCTCTACTGATTTTTGGTGCCTGTTGTATAATTCGATTGGTCATCTGAAGCCTTATGGGTTACATACTTATGTGATGTTATGTTTTTGTTTTCTCAAATTCACGATCTGTTTTGCTCATGTTATCAAGGTTTTTGAGGGTTGCTTAATTGAGCTAACTGTTACCAGTTCTGGGCTATTGGATAGTCAATCATTCATTTTGGAGATTATCTTACTATTTTCAGGACTGTGGTTGCAATGCCAGGGGTTTTATTGATGGGGAGGTGAATCTTTTTTTGTTATGGATGAGATCCATTCGTTCAACCTGGGTAGTAGCTTGGCTTTGATCTTTTTTAATACGAGAAATGCTGGCAGTTCTGGGTTTGGTTGGTCTTATATGTGGTATAGTTTATATGATATGGTGTTTATGAGGAAGGAGGTTAATCAGGTGCTTTGTCTGGATGGCTGGAATTCTCGTTACAATTAGTGGTTTTTGTTGGGGTTATTCTATGATCATCGTAATAGGTATTCCAGTATGAATCTGAAAGACTCTTTTTATTGTGTTAACTTCTTTCTTATTAATTTTTCTTTTTGGAGAGTTTCTTGAATGGTAATCTTAACATTTTATTTTGGGAGCTTCAATGACCGCAAGGTACTCTCGTTTTCGTTCTCGCATTGCTATTTCTATTTTCATCTGAATTTTTGCAGGAAAATTGAGCTGAACGAGATTAATCTGCTCTTCCTTTTTTGGGTGTTGTCTACTCACAGCCCGAGTCTTTATTTATGTTGTTTTTGTAATCCTAGAAAAAGGAACCACCGACTCTTAGGTTTTTTTATTTCTATTTTGATTGTAGCTCCTTGAGTAGTAGCGAGCTGGAGGGTCCTTCTAAGAACTTTGTAACCGATTTTTGGAAATTAACGCGTAGGCCCCACTGTGAGTTTTAACAAAAAAAAATTACATTATTTATTAATTTAAATTTTTATTGTATCATCAAATTCAGTTATAATCATATAATTAAATCTTAAGCATCTCTTTCTAATTCTATATCCGGCTCAAATTTTACAGCCTTTATAATCAACTTTAATAAATTCTCTCTCTCTCTCTCTCTCTCTTTTTACATTTAGGCCAACTAAGATAAACTCATATACATATCACATATTCAAAACTCAAACCTAAATTCAATTAATCAACAATCAAAATTTTCAACCAACAGATCAAAATAAATTTTCCCATTTTCAATATTATAAATTATAGAGCCCCGTTCAGGACATCGACGGTATGAATCAACTACCGTAGGTGCCTAATGTTTTTTTTTTTTTTTTTTTTTTGAGGGGAAAACGTTGACTTTTTAAAAAAAAAAATTGGTCATAGCCCATATATTAAGCTCAAAAAGGTTACAGATAATCAAAATAAAGAACACAAAAGGTCCCAAAACAAGAAGGGACTGCTCACCCGAGCACAAAAATAAGCTCGAATCAGATCAAGCAAATAATAAGAAAAATAAAAGCAGATACACAAAAAAGCTCCTCAGAGCATAAACACGTGGACTCAGATTTGGAGAAATTAGTCATCGAATCACGTGGCCTAATAATTGAAGCCATATTTTTATATTTATATCTAATTTCATAAATAAAAAAAAACAATAATAACGCCATCTGCAGACGTCCGTCCATCACGTCATTAAGGCGTGAAAATCGTGACACGTGGTCCATCACGCATGCCTCGTGCTCACAGACTGCCGGTCAAATGCCTTCTCATTACGACCGCATAGTTTTCAGCAGGTCTCTCCCCGTAGTCTTATTCTATATAGTTTTTAACCTTATTTAAACAAAGCCAGACGGCCTGTTTTCTCCACCTCTTCTTCTCCATAAAGAATGAATAGCGAGAAAATGGAAGGAGAGGAGAGGAAGGAGGAGGAGGAGGAAGAGGAGAAGATGAAGAAATTCTACGTGCTTATAGAGAACATCAGAGCTACGAGAATGCTGTGGCAGACAGCGCCGCCGAGTAAGCGGCAGAAAAGGGAAAGCTTGCTTTGGAAGCCGTCCTTTGAGTGGGAGGATTTCTCGCAAGCTGTGATGAGTTCTTCTAATGTTGGAGATGGTGGGAAAAGTAAGGGGAAGGAGAAGGAAGAAGGAACGGAGAGAGGTGTGGATCTTAGCCTTGGGCTATAGCTTCTTTTTTTTTCTTACTTTTTCGTGCAGTTAATTGTGAGTTTGTACAAATTTAATGGTTCTATATTGGAATAAAACTTGAAAGATAGAGTTTCTTGATGCGTTCTTCAGTATTGATCTATACCTTTCTCTTGCGAATTTATTTATATCCGTTTGCCCCATCGAACGAAGTTGTGGAGTCTAATGTTTATCTTATGAAGAAAACATGTTTGATAGAGTACTTAGGCTTCATTTGAATAATCTTTCTTACTATTTTATTTTTTAGATTGTAATCATAATTTTTAAACTCCCTTCATTATTTTTATTTTCTTCAATTATTCATTCAATTAAGAAAAATAAGGCTTGACTTTGACTATACATTTATCTTTGAGATTTTTAGAGCATCAATTTTTTTTTAAAAAAAATTAAATTTAAATTTTCAAATGTCAATTTAAACGCCAATCATCTTCAATGCTTTTGACTATTTTGAATTTTAACTATTTGATATTTTTTATATTTTCCTAGAAAATTCAAAGCCATTTTTGAATACAGTGGTCTAATAAGATAGGTCTAATGGCCCAAATTAAAAAGGTTGTAGCAAATTTTATGTCATGAAGCTTATTAATTAGTGAAAGCAAAACACCAATAGGTATTCTGTAACCTTGATGTATTCCCAACGGCGTTAACGTCCCCCCCCCCCCCCCCCCCCCCCCCCCAACCCCGCCCCACCCCCTGCAAAAAAAAAAAAAATCATTAGTCTTTTACTTGGTTTTCCCTCCAACCAAGCATACGGATCTTCTTCTGCATTGCAAACAAACCCTTGACACAAGTTGGCACGAAGCAACAGCGTTGTGCAGATATTTGATGGAAGCAAAAACAGAACAAGAAATTTTTGAAGAAGAAAAACTGAAGAAACAAACTTTTTTCTTCACTAAACTTTACGGGAACGGAACAGAGAGAAAAAATAAAACTCGTCTTTTTCACACAGAAAACAAAAACAGAGAGCACACAATCCTATCACTTTCACGGGATAACTTCTCACACAAAACGAAAAACTAAAAATAGAGAGCAATAAAGACTCTTAAGTCCTTCACGGCCCTTCACACAAACTAAAACAAAAAACTGCAAAACAGTTTTTAAAACTGTCTAATAAAGTAAATAAAATAAAACCAAAAGAAAAATTAAAGGAACCAATGCATCGTTTTGGTTTGATAATATCCAACAATCTCCCCCTCAATCCAAAACTTTCTTCATCCTAAGCATCTTCAATAGCTTTAGGAACCTCGGTGTCGGCAATGCTTTGGTGAACAAATCAGCTACTTGATCCTCTGTACTGCAGTGCTCCATGCTAATGTGACCCTTTTTTACTGCATCTCTGATAAAATGATAACGCACATCATTTTGCTTGCTCCTGCCATGATGTATTGGATTTTTGGCCAATGCGATCGCCGACTTGTTGTCCACATAAATTGTTGTAGCTTCATCAATCTCTCCAAAAAATTCCTTCAGCAAATTCTTCAATCACATTGCTTCACAAGCCGCTGCCGCCACTGCTATATACTCTGCCTCACATGTAGATAATGACACAACTTTCTGCTTCTCTGTGCTCCAAGTGAAGGATGTATCACCAACATAAAACACATCCACTTGTGCTCTTTCTTTTCTCATGATCATTTGCCCAATCACTGTCACAATATCCAAGTAACTTCATGTCTCCACTGCACTGATAATGAAGGCCAAACTCAACTGTGCCACTGATATATCTAAGAATCCTCTTCGCCGCAAGCCAACGAGACTCCCTTGAATTCTCCATGAATCTGCTCAAGATGCCCACACTATACACAATGTCTGGTCTCGTCACTATCAAGTATCTAAGGCTCCCAATCAAGCTTTTGTACAATGTCGGATCAACCAAATTTCCTTCTCTTTCTTTTGTGAAATGAACTCCAGTTTGCATTGGTGTAGACACACTATTGCAATTATTCATCCTGAACTTCTCAAGCAACTCTTTAGCATATCTCTTTTGACATATCCAAATGCCATCATCTTTCTGATGCACTTCTATACCCAAAAATAATGACATGAGGCCAACATCTGTCATATCAAATCTTCTAAACATAGTTGATTTAAAGTCTGCAATCATCTTCTCATCATCACCTGTTATAAGCAAATCATCCACATATAAGCATATAATCAACCTGTTGCCATTTGAGTCTATCTTCATATACACGCCATATTTTTAAGGGCATTTAGTGAAGCCTTCTTCACCAAAATGCTTATCAATGCATAGGTTCCAAGCCCTTGGGGCTTGCTTCAAGCCATACAATACCTTTTTTAAACGATACACCATATGCTCATTTTCCTTTACAATAAAACCTTCAGGTTGATCTATATATACTTCTTCCTCCAAGACACCATTCAAGAATGCCGACTTCACATCTAATTGATGAATCTGCCATTTATTCATTGCTGTAATAGAAAAAATTAATCTGATTGTATCAAATCTGGCAACTGGTGCAAAAACCTCTTCATAATCTATCCCTTGCTTCTGCTTGTACCCTTTGACTACAAGTCTAGCCTTGAATTTGTTTACACCTCCTTCAACATTTTTCTTCAATTTGTACACCCACTTGACACCAATGGATTTTTGACCTTTAGGAAGTGAGGTCAAACTCAATGTGTCATTTCTCTCAATAGCATCAATCTCCTCTTTCATGGCATCAATCCATCTCTTATCTGCAACTGCTTCATTAAAAGTTAAGGGCTCTTCATCTACATATAAAGCAAATTGAGATAACTC